CCCCCTTTCCCCTCGTGTCTCGCAATAACTCTTGCGAGCGCGTAAAATTAATTAGATGTCCTCCCGCTCGCTCGATCCTGTCTCGTTACAAATTCTGGGAGATTCGAGAAATTCAGGCGGGGCTGTTGGCGATACGCGCGATCGCGGCGTCTTCGCGTCTCTCCGTCGAGTTCCCCCACGTTTCGATTTGTAGACCTCTTGCGGACCGCACACGGAGGAAACAAATTTCGCCGGGGCAGCAAAAATGTTTGTCGATATAGCGACAGCGGAATCAAATTTGTTTAAACAGCAGAAAAATTTGTTGAGAACAATTATCAGTTTATCGGTTGATCCAACTCCGGCTAGACGGTTTGTTCAACAAACGGTTAGTTGTGCGTTGTCAATTGACTGATAGTTCATGTATTAAAATGGCCGAAAATACAGCAGACTATTTCAAGGCAGTTAAAAGTGACAAAGGGACACAGTACATGCCTCTTAGTTTATATCAAATAAGTAGAAAAGAAATCCATCTAACGATTTATCGGGTCGTTGCGTTTTAATAATATCGGTCCGATATTGTTTCATTTAAAAAACCAACCGTTGCTCAATTAATATGCGTTGCTCGGATTGGATTCTGAAAACTATATAAGTTATATACTAATATATCTACAACTATACAAATATTAAAGTACTATCTTTTCAATATTGCTCTTTTTCTCTCTCCCTCTCCCTCTCTCTCTCTCTCTCTCTCTCAATAGTTACGCCATCGTTTACACATCGTCAACAGTTAATCACCCGCTAGTAAAATAGTCGAGGCAAAAGTAAACTTTTAATAGATAAATAGTTGATAAATGGACATAAATATAACGAACTTGCGCGGACGGGCTGACCAAAGATTCGCAAATTCGCGTTCATCGGCAACTCAAGACGAGCGCGTCGCACGGCTGCAAAACTATCTCTTTGCATGGGACACGATTAATTAATACGATCTCGGTAATTAAATAGATATCAACCTTCTCCGGGACGCGACGACCGCGTCCCATCTGCATAATCTCTATACAATAACGTCGGCGAAAGGAAGAGTTTTGTCCCTCCGGCGACAAACTTTTTGCCACCCCAATCCGCCCCCTACGTTCGACACTCGCTGTCCCGCTAATAAAGAGACGGGCCTTACGTCGTTTGTCATACCTTTATTAAAAAAAGTCGATTGGAAATATTTGAAATTCCTCCCGGAATTTGTATTGAATCTCGGACTCGCTCCAGTCGCGATGACAAACGCGAGTTTACGCGAAATCCCGAGTCGGACTTTTGGTTCTGCATTAAATAACTCCGCGAATGACGCATTAAGCGACCATTTGTCGCAAAAACAGGACAACAGCTCGTACAACATTTTAATGCAGAGTCAGAATTTCGACTCGGGACTGTTTTACCGTTGCATTTAAGCGGCGCAAAAGCACGCTTCCTTTTATTTCTCGTGTACTCTCGGTGTACGTAATCAACACTCCGTTACCGCGTTATCATGTAACTTCGTTCCCCGAGAGATGCTGCAGTCAGGTAGTCGTCCGGCAGCCACGGCATCCAGGTGTCGTTAAAATTGCGCGGGAAGCCGTTCGGGTCGAGGGGTGAGTTCATCCGCTTCATGAGGACCGATTTATGACCGATTTATGACCGTCGATGAACGCGTTCAATCTCTCCACGACCTGCAAATTTAACGGCTGCCGCTTAAACCGCTTACCTTTGCCGTCACTCTTCTTCAATCTACGTCCAGTGAAAAATGGCAATGATAATTAATTTCTAAGAGAAGAATGTCAGTGTTAGTCGTAATAGTCATGAAATATTAAAGCGCAACGTTTCTTGCTTTTAATCAGTGCTACGATCGCTCGTTAAATCGCGCTCGATCGATATTACCGATATCTCCTTACATAAGTCTTCAAGATCTCGCCGATGGCGCCAGTTTCTGCATGCCGACCTGTGCTCTCTATGGAACTACTTGAAAAAGCTCAGCGAGCATATAAATGTTTAATTTTATATACTCGAGTCTTTTTCCTTTTTCATATCATCTCATTCTCATTTCGATGAAACTTTACAAGAAGGAACCCATCTTCTATGACTTTGACCTTGACATATTGACTTGACTTTAATAAACAACGACCGACTGCTAAAACCTTCTGAAGGTTACTCAGGAGGGCGACTTCTATAATATACGTCAACGTCAAAATCGCCCCCCTTTCGTAAAGATTCGCTCTCTTTTCTTTTAATACACGTATTAATTTCTACAATCGTCAATATTATATATTATTCTTCACTTTCCATAGATTATATATTATGTGTACACATAATATGTAAATATATATATATATATGTTTATGTATACGTGTACATATATTTCACCGTATATAATTAAATTTTAAGTGAAGAGTTCTCACCTCGAGATACATCGACGACAAGTCTGTAGTTTCGCAAGGGTCCTCGCGAACATCGAACAGGCAAGTACGATTCGTGCAGTTCGAGAAATCAGAAGTCCGACAAACCACCGTGCTTTCTTCTCGTAGTTGCTCTATTTTATCGGCGTTTAACACGGAACTCGAAACACTGGCGATGGCGGATGCGACCGGCGATGCTAACATGTTCGTCGCATTGTACTTGGGATACGACGGGTCGTTACCGGTGTACCCGTAATGCGTCGAATATTCGGACTTATCTGTGTCGAAAACAGAAAACAGAAAAAAATACATAACAATATGTAATCCTCTCGCGTTATCCTCGTACATAATATATAAAAACGCGACTCGTTCGTATTAGTTTGCGTTTCCTAATATAAATATATTTTATAGAAATATATATTATTTATATATATTTTATAGAAATAACTTGTAAAACATACGAACAAACAGTGTAAGTGCCGATACGTTGCAAGTTACCTCTGACAAGTTTATACCGTCCCATCATTATCGCCGTCTCGTTATTATCCTTCTCGTCGATGTTGACGAGGTAGGATCGCCGCTTGCTGTCGTCCGCGCTCTTGATCGCGTCATCGATCGAGCACTGTATTCGTCGGATATGGCTTCGTGTGACTTTTTCTTGTTCCTCAAACTCAAATGATTACTTCATGGAAGACGTTTTCGGTCCATTGAAGCTATAAAACAAAATTCGCAGGAGCTGCAGGCCATACCGGAAAGTACTTATAAGAAGTGTTTCGACGACTGGATTATTCGTTAGTATAAGTGTATCGCATCAAATGGGGCTTATTTTGAAGGCGACAAAATAAATTTGGATAATTAAACCAATATTTTGTGTTTTACCGAACAATTCCTGATATTTATTTGACAGAATGTACATGTGATCTGTTCTTTATAGCTGCACTGCTGAACTGGTGCAATAAGTTAGAGTGAGACAAGTATATATATTTGTCTCTAACTAAATGCACCAGCAATGTTGCTATAAAGAACAATGATGAAACCAATGATGAAACCGTATTAAGCCCGTGTCAGATTACGGATTAGAAACTGAGATTAAATTGAAGTTTGACCAATCAGTGCAAAGTTTACTAAATTTCATTAAATTTGAATTAATTTTGCACTGATTGGCCAAATTTAATTCAATCACAATCCCCAATCCATAGTCTGATACGGGCTTTAAGAATGGGCACAATCATCGATGTTCGTTCATTGAGGATGGTATTACCATTTAGAGAAAATGTTAAACACTCGGATAGAAATTCTCTATCCGATAGCCAATTGGCACATCCGACAAACTCGTACGACGCATCCTCAATGAGCGAATATCGATGTTTGGAAAAACGTCGGTGATTTTGCCTATTCCTACTTGGTATGTAATTAATGCAACTATGTTTATAGCGCTAATAATGTATCCCCAAACGCACTCAGAATTATCAGAATTTATATTTAAATGAAGACGTAAATTTATAAACTAAATTGCAATATATACGATATTTCATCATGAAAATACAATTAAATCAGATATTTTTCATAAAACCTTTTTCATAATTAATCACAATTATACAATAATTTTATAATTATCATTAAATTAAATTAATCACAATTAATTTAATTATATATAATATATTTCATAATCACAATTAATTTTATTATATAATTATTTCATAATTAATCATAATTAATCAAAGAGGTATCTATCAAATCGAATATGTTGCTTCACACAATAAGAATGCCTAAGATGTGTATAATATTCTATAATACAAACTGTTTGAATTGAAGCTATCATATTGAATCATGATCTTCAAGACAACTCTTTTATAAACTGTTCAAATTAATCAACAAAGGAACATTTATATCAGATCAAATTAGCTACTTTCTGATCGCAATACCATCATATTGGATTAAAAAATATCTTACGGATTCTTTTATCACAATTTATTGCAAATAATCAAAAAGCATTAATTTTGGTCATAAAAAATATGAAAAATTACTACTTATATAAATTAGATTTTGCCGACATATCCTTTTATAATTTATCGGAACGCATAATTGAATAAGAACGCACTGTAACTGGATATAATGAACATTACAACAAACAAGGACAGTCAGCGACTCTATAGACTCTGTAGCTTTAAGCTCAAGTCTTATCGACAATCTGTTGTGACAGCAGACGGCCAAAACCGAGTAGAATCTGCGGTATGTTCTATTTAAGGGTATTCAAATAATTATGGAACAACAGATTCCAAATTCGTTTTCTGCCGTCAATTTGCAATCGTATTCTGCTCATCTTCTCTGCTCCTCTCTGTTCATCTGGCGATCTTGTTGTACTTTGACTAACGAGCCGCCGACAGAAAATTTATAGCGAACACTGTAAAAAAATCTGCCTCCTCCCCACACAAGTTCAATTAATTTAGATCTAATTGCTGTCGCTTTCCGATAATTCCACCTCTTTCTTGACTTTCCGTACAATGCGTCTCACTTTCTTCGTTCTGGCCAAGCCTTGTTTCGATTTCCTAAATATTTCTATGGCACGCAATTTCTTCTCGAATGCGTTCGCCTTATCCCTCTCCCGTTGCGGTATGTATTCATCGGCGGTTCGATCGTGAACAACGGATACGGCAATCGCATCATCGAGAACATCGTTTGATCCGACGAGTGCCTTAGGCTTGGTACAAGTTGGTACATCGGACTCGATCGTCTTCTCTTCCTTCTCCGACCTCTGACCGGCATTACTTTTCTTTCTCTTTTTAACTCGCGTCTCGCCGTTTGCATCTTCTCCTTCCCCGTCGTCCTTGTTATTCAATCTGTGCACAGCTTTCTGTACTCGTTTACTCAGGTTCGACTCGATGAGTTTCGGGGATACCATTGTCTTGAAATACAAATCCAAGATCTTCTGGCTCTTTTTCTCCTCCATTCTCCTCAGCACTGGTATTATCGTGTCGTCGAACTTGCCTTTGGTCCATCCGAACTTCCGCCTGACGTAGTCGCAAAGAAGCATCACGTTCGGCTTGCCCCAGGTGAAAGTTTCTTTCGACTCGTCGACCGTGGGGAAGAGATACGCTTGAACGACCGCTTGATTCGGGAAATCTGAAATCGATTGAGCGTTACGCTAATCATATCCATCCTTTGTTGTTCGCTCTTATCGGTTACGTCAGACGGTGACCAAACCAACTCACCTCTGTCCAATTTCACATTTCGCAGTTTATTGCGCAAGCCTGCCTTCCCAGAAGTCGCAATTCTTCCGTTCTTCATCCATGAGTAGAAATTATGTAAACCGTGCAGCACGTTGTCCCCTTCGGTGGGAAAGGCGGCTAATATTTCCAGCGCAGTGACAGGTCCGATGCCAGCCACCCCTGTGGTGTAATCGCTGCCGACCAGTAGGGCTAATTGTATCAGCTGATTACGGGTAAGTTCTACAATGATGTCATTTTGTACGTATAATCGTTATGTCAACCCTTCGTCGACGGATTCTTATTTTTTGCTACTTAGTTTAACACGCTGGGCCCGAGAGACACAGAAATTTATCTGATATCAATTTCAAATGAAAGGGCCATTAAGAGCCTAAGCACGGATAATTTAGTGCCATTAAATCAATTTTCCCTTTTACTTGAAATTGATTGTGTATCAAAGAGCCTTTTCTACTATTTATTTATTTATCTGATATGCCTTCACTTAAATATATCTATAAATACGTTTACCCACATATATATAGTGTACAGATTTTAAAATGTGGAATTTACGATGGATAAATTATATACAAAAATTTGCCATTCATTATTTTTAAGGCTTGGTTACCTCGGGCAGTCAGACTGGTTTTGTGACGTTATAGGCGAGAAATGACATGCAGTAAATTTTTTGAGGCATAGCTTTATTTTGTAGTTTTCTCTGAAAAATATAATAGTTTTGTAATTTTGAAACTTGTAAAATGTGCGGTAAACTCTGACATCTGAAATAACTGAGATTTTCGCCTATGATGTCATAAACCAACACAGCTGCTGAGAGATAGCCGAGTCTTAAAATAAATAAAAGCCATCTTTGACATGCCTTTAATCTATAAATAAATGTCTATAAATATACTTATCCAGTGTACAAATATTGCAGTTTTAAATGTACGAGAAGAGTAGATTTGAAAAATTTGTTGCGATTATTATTCAAATAAATAAAAAAAAAACATTTCTGACATGTCTTTAACCCTTTCATTACGAGCGCCGGATATATATGGCATCCATGTGATAACTTGTGTATACGAGTGCCGGATATATACGGCATCCACACGATGACCTGTGTATACGAGCGTCGGATATATCCGGCACGTGTGTATACAAATGCATGTTAAAGCGGCGTTGTTCCGGTGTAAGATGTAAACTGGAAAATCCGAAGACTGGCCATATACAATGTGTATGCTTTTGGCGTGGGCCTTCGTTCAGTGGCGGGGCTCCGACGGAGCGAATTGCCGTAGAGAAAGGGTTAATTATGTTACTTAATATTTATCAATGTGCTCATACACATACAGACCCATATTCTGAATTCTCTTTTATCGAAAATGCCCCAAAATGTGGTTTAGGAACCACCCGATTGGCTGAAAAGTCACATTTAAGGCATTTTTATTGATAAAAGAGTTCAGAATATGGACTATTGTGTACAGATATTATAGTTTGAAATGTACAAAAGGTAAATTTAAACAATTTGTTGCGATTATTATCTTTAAAATAAATAAATTAAGATACAAGAGCAAATAATGTATTGATTTCACATAGAAAGAAGTAAAAAAAATTTGCAAATTTTTATAGAAAAATTCTACATTAAATTTAAATGTGCAATTTATATTTTTGCTTAGGTCAATTTGAACCTATAAATAATTAATGAATATCAAACAAGGGTAAATAAATATAACGAGTTCTCTTTAGGTTAATATCAGTAAATATGATTTACGTACTAAAATGATGCTGGATATCACAGGCACAGAATTGCTGCACTCTCTTGCTATTGTTGAAAAAATTCTTGTACACACATTGGCCCCCGAACAGCCAGATGTCGGAGTCGTCTGTAATTGTGCCGTTGGTTAACTTACTTTGCTCTAGATAGGCGCACTGCGCTTCTGCTTCCATAGGAGCCACTACATAGGGTATGCCAAATAAACGTAACAATTCCTATAAATAAATGTAATATAAAACGCGATAGTTGCATAGTAAAAATTGCCATTTAATTTTATTGTTATGCATACCTGCGCCTCAATTTGGACTTGCTCCGAAATATTGGTAGCTTGTCTCTCGAGCTTGCCGATGCTCTTTGTGAGTTCCTCCTGCTCGTCCTCCAATTGGTCCTGTAATTAAAGAAACGTAAGTAGATAGATAGATAAACGGTCAAACCGTAATTACTGTAATCAAACGTCAAGCTTGTTAAAAAAAGAGAGAGATTATGTTAAGATTCCTGTTTCCTCACTACAACCATCTTGATTAGTAACATTAGCAGAGCGAGAAAACATATATCCAAAATTTTCACGGAATACGTTGGAATAAAAGAGTACGTCCACAGAATGATACTTGTAATTGACTGAGCACACTTATAAAATATTTCAAGAATTTTTTTCTTCACTTTCACATCAATCAAATAACCGTAAGATTAACTTGACAAAACTATGGTGAGCGATAAGCTAAAAAGAAAGATTGCGTTTCATGTTAATTTTAAGATTACTTATCGATTGTTAGAGCGAGGTAAAAATTTTTAGAATATTTTACAAATATACTTAATCAATCATACATTTCATTTTACGAACATACTCTTTCAATGTATTTCGCAAAAATTTTTGACATGCATTTTCTCGTTTCTGACGTCTTCAAACAAAAGCACTGCACACAAAAGACTGCAGCAAGGAAACTTGAACTTACCTTTAGTTTTATCCAACCTTCCTCACTTATAGGTAACATTACTGGCTTTTTTTGTTCAGATTCCTTGGAAAAATCAACTTCACTATTCGTATTATTTTGCTCCGTTGGTTTGTCAGGGCTTAGAGAATCGTTTACTTTGCCGTCGTCATTTGATGCATTCTCAGTCGACTGAACATTTTCTGACGATGCGATATCTGTTTTTTCCGCTTCCTCCGTCGGTTCTTCAGATATAGTGTCCAGTTTTTTTACATTATTACCGTCTTCAGGAACTGATACCGCCCGGTGTTCGTCGTTCACATCAACGGATTTGACATGCTTTGCGTAACTCGTCGACACAGCTTGGCTTCGAGCCATTTTCCCGAATACATCGGCAAACAAGTCGTCCTCCAGCTTGTCGCCGGATTTGATAGTTATTTCGAGATTTTCATTCCTCGTGGACGTCCTCGAGACGTCGGGTATCGGGACATCGTGGATCTCAATGAAATCATCGGAGCCCGAGTCCGACGTGTCCGCTTGCGTCACATCGTCGAGCTTTGCGACGGAGCGCTCCTCGGGTATTATTTCATTACTTGAATTCGCGGCGCGAGATTTCGCGGTGAATTCTGATGTCTCAGCGTTATTTTCAAGAGGCTCAACTTCGATGGAATTATCACACTCTGAACTGGACGGAATTGACTCGACAGTCAACGGATCCTCTCTGGCCAAGCATCCTTGCGTGTCTTGCATGTTCCGCAATTTCACAGCTTTCGAAACGTCCTCGCGATTTTCGATAGCTTCAAGTGACGTCAATTTATCGCCCATTGGATCCCCACTTTCCGCAGATTCCGAGCGAATATCCTTCTCGGACGCTTTCTTGCCTGCAGTCTTACAGCTCTCGTTATTATTGTGACTGATGAGATGTATTATTTGATCCTGGCTCAAGCCGCTGTACTCCAACATGTACGTTAATGCGGGATTCCTTGTATTTTTGCCAAAGTACTTTTTATCCACAGGCCGTGACTCATTCGCAGCAGACTCCCAATCGCTGTCAAACGCGTATTCATTCACATCTTCTGCAATAGGCACAGGATCGTCGTGGATTGACACGACGTCGTTGTCGGAGTCATCATTCAGCTCATATTCGTTCATGTTTTCCACGATTGGTGTAGGATTGCTTGGACCGGCGACTGGCTCAACTTCCCCGCTTTTGTCCCGCGACGATTCGTTTTCGCCCGTTTCCGCTTCGTTACCAACAGAACTTTCCGCGGAGTTTAATGCGTTCTTGTCTACAAAAAAGTGCCACACGTTATTATGCATCGATACACAGTGTATCGGAAAATAATTATTACGACTACAGACGTTTAAGGTAGTTGGTCCGTTACAATATTGCTGGAAAGATAACAGCTAGTGCAATATAAAGAGTTCGACAAATTTCTGCGCTAAATGTTTATAAATATAATTTATAACATAATTTATATAATATACAACCTTAACACTATAGCAAGAAAATCAAACTAAACTTATTATAATTATACTTATTATATACTTATTATATATATTAATGTCTAGAAAATCATAAAAAAAATAATCCATTCTCGCGCTTTGACGTATAATACTTTTGGTTGGAGCTGTCCATGTTAGGCATTTGTTTGCGAATATATTATATGTACCGACAGACATACACAGTCGAATACACGCTATTAGAGAAATGGCAATGATCGTGACAATGAATTTTTTGTATCTTCTGCATTTTTACATATTAATTTATAAGTCTTTAAGGTTATTTAACTACGGTATCTTTAAAAAGACACTTAATCAAGAGTCACAAAGGGAAATACAGCACGCATAATATCGTGTGCGGAATCTTTACAAATTAACTGTCATATACTTCAACTATTATCAGAAATTGTGCAATTTACATATCAATTTTGAGCAAACTTGGTGATCAACGAATTTGTAATTCTTTTATAATATTTCTAAAATTCTATCTCTAAAGTTTCTCTCATCGTTTCTCATTAAAATCGTAAGAGTAGCTTGTTCGCCAGGATTAAAAGTATGATATCGAAAGTCACTTTCGTACCTATAATATATATAAATAGTACCAACTATGACTTCAGTTGTCTTCTTTGATACAGTCAATTTTTATCTAATTTTACATGTATGTAGACCGTGTTTCAATTTAATAGGCCAATTAATAGGCCGTCGTTAAAATCTGAAAATCGGTTTCTGAAAATGAATTTACAGGAATTTACAAGACCAGCTAGTTAGCTTAATGCATACCACTGATGTAGATTAATCGAGTCGTGTCATCCGCGGCAATTCGGAACGCCGCGTCTCTGCCTTTCGTGTCGATTCCTTGTTCGGTCAGCAATTTATCCAGCTCCTCCAGCGTCAGCGTCTTGCCGCCCATTTCCTTCTCGGCGGTCTCCAAGGACTGTTGCACGTATCTGCGTTTCAGCAGACGTCTCATCTGAAAGCCTGAGAACTCCTGTGATTCCTACAACCGGACACGGATATTTCGGGTGAAATACAATCCACGAATTTACGCGAATACATACCATTTTGTGTTACACACACGTACTTCGGGCATCTCGTGTAAACGGCCCCAGGAATTTTGCTTCCTCGTCTCCCGCAGGTCGGTCAGTATGTCGTAACGGACGTCCGCGGGTAACGCTTTGAATTCGTTGGTGGCTACGTCAACATTGTGTATGTTTCCCATCCACTTGGACTGCTTCCGCGGACTCAGCTCGACAGACACGTCAGAATCGTACTCGTCGTCATCGATTACGTGAGTCTGCGTGTCACCGTTGCTGGACATATCGGGCAGAGCGAACATATCTTCCTCTGGGCGTTTAGTCAGCAAATTTATCGTCATTTGCATCGCTCCATTATCCGGATCCGCCTTAGGATCCTGATTAAGAACGGTCTTCGCCATGGTGTGCTTTATTAAGTTGCTTATCAAGTCTGCCTTCATCTTCTGCGCCTTGTTTGTGGCGATGGACTTCTGCTTTCTGCGTGAGGCCTGTGAATACAAAAAAAATAAGCAGATTCCTCTCTTGCTACCTGAGCTTCCCTGATACTGATCTGATTACGCACAAACAATACTAGACAGGTTCCACTTAACATTTGCAACGTCATTCTATTTTTACTTAACATCCAGCGAGAGACAAAGATAGAATGACACGCATTGTTGCAAGCGTCAAGTGGAAATCGCCCGTCATAATCAAGACAGAAGTACAGTTCTGCTTGTGCATAAACACACAGAGTGTTCAAAGTTTCATATAGCACACCGTATCTATCTTGTGTTACATATGTGCAAATTGAATAAAAAAATGACTCGCTATTTAATTAATTAGGAAACACAGCCGTATTTACAATTGTATTCTTCTTGAGCATCGGCACGCCGCCATCGAAGACGAAGACAGGCTTGATCCTGTAGTACAAAAGCTTGCATATCCTGATAAACAGACCGAGCAGATGAGCGTTAGGCTTGGTAGTGCCGTGTTGATTCTGGTATCCTTGCAACATCTGGTATATCCATATCGATATGTCTGTAAAATCCACGTAATCCTTTATGCGTCGATACTCCCCGTGAAAATTAATTAATCGTAAGGATCATCGTCACTTGCCGATCGCCAGAACTTTGCCCTCGAGGCTCTCCAAGACCACCGGTTTGCCGGATGCGTCCAGCAACCGCCACAAGCCGTACACTCCCATTATTCGTGAGAAAATCCGTTTACACCAAAACGGTACGTATCACAGGAAAGAGACGGTTCTAACGCCTCCGAAACGAATATTTTGGATCATCGAGCATGCTTCGTGATGATTAATTCACTGTACTCGACGAGTATTCTCTTTCTCTTTCTCTCTTTCTGTCAATATTCTCGCGTAACCTAAAAATACGGAATTTCTCGAGAAATCAAGTTCGCGGTGCACAATTAACATCACGATACTCGTATGAAGAATGCGAAGAGGCGGCAAGGCGTCAATCGGGAAACGATCGTCGACTATGTTCGCCCGGGATATTTGTCGTATTCAACAGATACACGATCCTCCAGCGACGGATGGTGCAAACATCACACGCATGCACACACGCATTCAAAAGAGCAAAAGAGCGGGAAAATCAATTGATTTCAAAATTAATTTCCTAACTGCTTAAAAACAGGGGGTTATTCATTTGTACACCTAATAGAATGACGCGGTAGCGTTAAATAGCGTCTCCCCGAACGCACTCTTAAATTCTCATTGTAGATCTTACTTAAGGGAGAATTCACACCGTGAGAGAAAGCGGAAAGCAGAAAACAGACAGCCAATCAGAACTCTCGCGCTGGTGGTCGATCGTTTCTGCTTTATCTACTATTTTATCAAGCGCGAGTTCAGATTGGCTTCTATTTTTCTGCTTTTCGGTCTGTTATAACTGCGTTGTTGAACTGGTGCGATAAGTTGAAGTGAGAAAACATATCTCACTTGTCTCACTTCAACTTATTGCACTAAGTTCAGCAGTGCAGCAGCAAAGAACAGACCGAAGGAAAATGCCGGCGTGGCTGCTCTCACGTTTCTCCCCGGCGTTGTGTTGTCATTATATTCTCATTTTATGTTGGATGAACGATCAAGGTTGAATAACGCGATAGCGCCGATAACGCGCTCCCCGATCGCAGCATTTATCTTAAGTGTTGAACGATGCTTGTCTTGAGTTTAATCTAGGAAGAGTTTTGTATGTCACCGATGACTAAAGAAACCATTGTATAATGAAAGTTGTATAAAAATTATATAATAAAAAAATCCGTATAATATAAAAAATAAACAACTGATAATTTAGGTGAGGATTTGGGGCGTGAAACATCGTCCGAAAAGTATAAGTCAAGTGTTCTGCTGAGGCCTTAGGATTATCAGTGCCTATTTATAGACAGTAATTGATAACGGTATTTTTTTCACTGTTTAATACTCGCCCGATACATTCATTTCACCTCCTTCGGTCTCGGTGTTAGCATTAATTCTCAAGATGGAAAAGGTGCCTTTGGATTCAGACAAGCTGAAAATTACGAAGAGGCCGCTACATCAACCACCTCTCGATGAATTAATGAGTGGTAATTATTAAAAATCTTCGTTATTGGTAAGGAATAATTTCGGTGAAAGATAATGCGATTTCAATTTTTTTTTTTTTCAATTTCACTGCACAATGGTAGTTTTGAGAGAAGGATTGGCTGCAAACTTCGAGGAAGTCAGTGTTGAGCTTGGTACTTGTCCACAAGACTGCGAGAGGAAGCCTAGTCGATATGGTATTGAGTGAAAGAAAGATACAAGTAATCTGGAATTTTGCCGCAACTTGTACCTTCGAATTGACGAATTGTGTTTCCAGATTTATGCGGGAATCCGATTATTCTGGGGATCGGCGGCCCGGCGTACCTCCTGCCTCTTCCCCAGAAGGACAAGTTGTACAATATTGAAGGGATACTGCGCCGCATAGATTACCGTGGAAATGCTTTCGTTATAGGAGCGGGAGCTGGACTATGGCCGCGTATATCCGATGGTGGTAATTGTGAAGTACGTATTGTAATGAAAGTTATACTAATTGATCTTTACACATCTTTAATTTCGGCCAAGTAGATTTACGAGACTTCTCGTTACAGGCTGTTGTACACCATCATATAGACACACGGGTGGGTTCGGTGATAAACAATTCGCGTTACGCATATGTGGATAAATCTACCGGAGAATGTGTGGTTCCTCAGCAAATAGGTGATAATGAACAGCACCAAGCGATTATGCCGTTGTTGGCTGATTTGTATGTGAGCGAGGGTGAACCAGGCACGGTTGTAAAAGTATGCGCCAAAACGCGCACCGGAAAGTCAGATTTTATAACAAGTATGCAGAAGGCATTAGCAAATCATTACAAGGACAAGCTTGTTGGTAGGTTTATTCTGAATTTTATATATATATATATATTGTCAGAATTGTACTACAGAATTCGATAATAGAAATCCAAGAAATTATTTTCAAATATTCTCAATTGTCTATCTGTAAATGTAGGTTTAGGTGGTATGTTTACTATGAGGAACGGAAAGATAAGACAGCACGTTATGCAAGATTATTCAGATATTCCATTGACTACTGAGGCCAAACTTAACAATTGGTTACGTTTTTATGAGATGGAAACTCCTCTGACAGCTGTTGGCATATTTGTCAGTGCTGAAACGGTAAACAATAATACCGAGTGAATATATTTAGAGCAATTAATATTTAGCAATTACGTACATTTCGAATAACGATCTATAAGAGTTAGTTTTAAATGATCACTTATGGTCACCTTCATTTTACCCTAAACTAAAAGTACTTATTCATGTCTTTTCAGGACTTGGATCTCAGGGTTCAACATTTCCATAGTTACGCTCATAACAATAAAGAAGCGGGACATTATCATATCGATACAACACCGGATACTATCGAGTACGAGGGTTATTTTAATGTAGCGGGTACATTTTATCGCGTCGACCAACCACCCAATAGATTGCAGTTTGGGAAAGACTGATTGCGCGTAAAATATATGTAGCTCGAATGTAATGGGTAATATTTTATCAAGAAATTTTACAGTAAGTTAACGAAATTGCTGCGCCAAAAGAATACAGAAGATATACTATTTTTGTTACATATAATAGAGCATCTCTTAGAAGATATTTGACGTGGTTGTTAAGTTTCTAGAGATATTATTTTATAATCGTTTTAAACTAATCTCTCATCAATTAACTTTTTATTTTTCGCGCGCGCATGCGCGAGTAACCAACAATAAACTTCAATTACTTTTAACTAATCTCTTTTCTTTTTTGTAATATGAGTCATTTCTTCAATTCCTTATCCTAATCTATCATTCATACTTATTTGTATAAATAAATTAATTAATAGAGACACACAAATAAACAAGTAATTTTAATTTTTTTTTCTCTTTCCGATATAACTTCTCAATTTCTTATAATTATAAATGTCCTGATCTATAATTTTTTAATTTCATTTTTCCTTTCGTTCGTAGGGCTGAGAGATACAAGGTATTGATATTTCGTATCGATACATGTCGTAAATAGAAATACTAATACATCAAAAAATATGAGGTAACATTAAGCTAATGCAAATTCTTTTCTTGATATATCGATATTTTTATATACGATATATATCGCTACGAAATATCGATATTTTTTATCGTTTCGCTTATTCCTGATAGACGTTTTCTTACTTTTTTTGTTGGTTGAGATTCAAATTAATAAGCTTTTTTACCAGTCTTTACAATGAGCTTTTTTACAACATGGTTAGATGGCGCCAAACAGCTTTCTTAGTTGTGTGGAATTTTGTTGCGCCACTGTCAGGTGACACCAGGCAGTCCGTTAGCGACAGACCCATTGAAATATCAGGAGTTTACCTATGAAATTGCCGTTTTTTTAATTAAAGGTATGACATCTTTTTTCTTAAGGTTTCGGAGTAGTCAGCCAAGAATTCCGCGTTCACAGTAACGACACAGTTCAGAACGACAAAAGGATGAACTAATAGAGTGCGTCTAGCAAACGCTACAAGTATTTCGAAACGTTTCTTTTTCTTTCATCTATTTTTCGGGTCCGAATAAAAAAAGAAAAAGAAGAAGAAGCGCTTCGAAGCATTTGTAGAGTTTGCTGGAGCCCACTTATATGCATGAAGAGTGGCATGTTGACAATGAAATTTTGTGTTTCGTGTACCATTTCTTTATTGTTTGTTTAATTATGCAAGTGTGACTTGCGACATATATCCCAGACAACATAAATGTCCAAAATCGGGACATGAGACGTCTTTTAGACGTCTTGAAATCGTGTTTAAGATGTTTTAAAACGTCTAAAAGACGTCTTATGTGCCGATTTTGGACATTGTGCTGTCTGAGTTGTTAAATCCGTAAAAATGGACGAAAATCAAGATTAGCTTGAAATTTTATATGTGGGAGCATATTTTTCACTCCTTTCGACAGCTGTAAAACCGTATGTTTTTCTATATGAATAAAGCTTTCCCAGTAAGCAAGAAATCGTTAACACAACGTTATTACAATGATATTTTATAACATGTAACGTTTTCAAATATGTAGTTCTAAATGTTATATCAACGTTACTGTTATTATACAACGTGACAATATTTGACCGAAACATTAAAAATAATGTTTCTATACACCATAATTTTAATATTTAAAAATATAATATTATCAAGTAACAGTTTAAAAACGTTTATAAAATATTATGTCAAAATGTTTATAAAATCCCCGTGAAATCAATGTTTTAAAAGGTCGATTTAATGCTTCTTGCTTACTGAGTTATTTCACGTACGGCTATTTATTGACCGTTAGCAGGGAAAAGGAGAGATCTCGTTCATTTTTACAGGCGTTTTTAAGCGATTTCAAGTGCTGTTTTACCCAGGTTTCTTTTGCAAACAGCACGCAATATTTCTCGACGTGTCACTTCTCGCCTATGACGTCACGAATCAATGACAATCAACTTTGAAACAAAAAATGTATGTTTTGAAGTCCTCCATTTCTCTTCAAAGTTTGTTGGTCTGATTCTCTAACATCCTGTATATATTTTTTATCGTATTCTCCTATGCAATTTCCTTTCTATCTTCGCTTCTAACACGAAGTGTAGAACATCCTTCGATGCAGATATCCTCAGTGCTTCCCCGTAATAAAGTCGAAAATCACTTAGCGAGATGGAATAGGGTATAGTCCATCACGCTGCTACGTTCTACACGCTTGGGGGATGATTACACGGAATATTCGCAAGTACACGCTACCCCGTAGACACTGGCGTGGAACTTGTTACGTGACCACTCTCGTCCACCTTAAACGGGGTCTACAATGAAAATTTAAGATATAAGATTTGAGAAATTGACCAATCATAATTGATTTTTCTTCAAAATTCGACTATGATTGGCCAATTTCTTAAGGTTTAGAACTTAAAACATTTATCGTAGACCGGGATTTAAGCGGGGTCTACAATGAGAATTTAAACTGTAAGCCTGAAGAAATTGGCCGACCACAGTCGATCATTCTTCTCAAATTCGACTGTAATCGGTCGTAATTTCTTAAAGCTTAGAGCTTAAATTCTCATTGTAGACCCCGCTTTAACGTTGACCCACGCAGTGAAGAAAGTAACATCAATCCGTCTTTCATCATTCCGCGACAGTGTTTCGCACATCCGAGAAAATATCGCGTTCGACTGGAATAATTTCGATGATAAACGCCCGCGCGAGAATACATGAGAATTTTATTCGCGGGGAAGAAGAGGAGATTCCTTTTTTTCATTTTCTTCGCGCGGAAAGAAAAACAAGCCGACGTCTATGCGTGACCGAGGGGAAGTTTGTACCCCGCCGTTAGCTAGAGTTCCGAACTTCGGGCATTTATGCCACCTACGGGAATGATATCCGGTCGTTATCTAGTCGTCGCACCCGATCGAATCTTCAAGATGGCAGGGAGGCAGGGAAGGAAGATTGGCACCTTCGTGGCACGTTCGCATTTCGCCGCCGGTGAGATCGCCGAAGAAGGTTTCGATCGACCTCGAACTTCCGGCTTTTCCGCAGTCGTGGAAAGCCGTGGGTCGCGGTCACGTCGTCAGTTGTCGCGGGCCGATCATCGGACACCGCCAAAGGAAGGAAGCGATGCAGAGTCGAGAATACGTCGATGATGAATACGATAATTTCATCAAGCCCGTCCGAATGGCCTCCAAACTGATCTCCATCTGGCCGTTGCAGAAGAATCACACCGCCGGCGAATCGTTTCTCAACAATTGCCACTTGGTCTGGTTATTTTTTGTGGTGTGTACCTTCGAGATTTCTCCCGTTGAAGTATCTCTTGGAATTAAAGCGACAACCAAGCAACTCGAATTCGAACGATGTTTCGCAAATATAAAGAGCGAATCCTCCATACTCCGACTCGTCGGATGAATTTTTCGTTTGAAACTGAAAAGTGAATCCGATGTGACTCCACCGTCAGAGAAACTAATTTATTCTAATTGATTGAGACATTTGCTCATATGGATGAAGAATTAATTATATACCCCAAAAAATTAGTATCAAATCAAGATTCATATTCTCATATATGTATAAGCAAGAATATATAATCTTACATAATAGATAAAACTTGTGCTCTTATATATGAAGAAATTTTATATAATTCCAGTAAAAATATTATGTTTTTGTTATTCAAGAATAATTGTTATGAAATAGGAGGAAAAAATATTGGATAGAAAAAACGATATCTTCAAACAATTCCTAATTTGAAAATATCTTCCTTTCTGTCTACTATTTTCTCCTCTCAATTCATGAAAATTATTCTTGAATAACATAAATTTTTAATGGAACTATATAGAATTTTTCATGTAAGTTTTATCCTCGTATAAGATTATACATTCTTGTTTATATATAAAAATATGAATCTTGAATTGATACTAATTTTTTTCTGTAGATAGAGCGAATTTTTCACATCCTGGAACATATCAAATGAACTTTTTTATTTGAAATTGAAGAGTAAATGTAACGTCATAGGAACAAATTCATCCTAATTGATTGAATCATTTGCTCGTATGAATTAAGGATTTACATTTCAGTGAAATATTCGTTGTTGTGACTGCACGAGTGGCAATATTTTTCACGATAGTTTTGAATAAATTTTTACTAGTTTTCTGTGAGATTTCTTTTTGGAAAGTTAGTTTTTTTTAATTGACACCTTAGCTGATAACTGATGACGAGCAAAATTTCGCTTTGAATTAGCTTCAATGGAATAGCAATAGACGATGTCGCCGAGTAATCAAGATTCCCTTTGAAAACCGTCCGAATAATTCCAATTATTCTCGATTTTGACATTGTAAAGGGACGAACTAGCTTTGTGCACTAGTACATAACGCAGCTTGAATGACGTGTAATGTGTTGTTTGCAACAGCTACTTTCGACGTGTGTCACTGTGACGGCCGATACAATTTACCATATCGACAATTTGGACGAATTAACAGAATGTGCTCTGGTGTGCTCCATCTTTTATCTTTCCGTGATACGTCTCATTGTCTATACGTTTCATCGAAAGGACATGCTGTATGTAACTCAGATCATGCATAAGGATTGGGCTACGTCGTCTTACGAGGACAGGGTTGTCCTGAAGGAAAAGTGCATCTTCGCGTTCCAACTTGCCAGGTGTTTTATAATTATGGTAGCCGGAGTAGTAGTCATATTTTCGTGCTTGCCGATTTTAGAGGTATGTGCAAAGTACATGATACAAATCTTTTATTATATTTAACACACGTGTCTTGTTCATGTGTCCCAAACAGTCCACTCAAATTTCTATGTTGATTTAACGCAAAATGTGAATATGTTAAGAAGTGACACAAATAGTATGTCAAAATTAACATAAAAAATGCAACACATGACACTTTGACACTATTTGTAAATAAATTTTATGTAAAAGTAATATATTTATAATGTTAAATGTAATTAAAATAAAATGTCATTTTTACATTTTTTTTCGATTATACGAATATACGTGCGTGTAGTATTAATATCCTACGTCCCACGATATAGCAGCTTTGATACTAAGTTAAGACACATATGTTGCTGTTGTCTGCAGAAGACATATTTTTATTATTTTATAAATAAAACACCAGTCATTTTTACTATTCGTGCACTTCATTTTGCAATCCTGCCTTACATTTCACATTTTGTGCATTTGAGCACGAACTGATGCAGTAGTGTTACTTTTGACGGCAGACAGAGAATAAAAGATATCTCTATGTGATATTTAGTACAAAACACGTTGATTTAACAAATAGCAACTATATGCTTTTTATTGAGGAAAAATAACTCTAAAATTACATAAATCTTTATGTTAAACGTATACTTACATATAAATTGTGTTATTGTGTTATTTCAACATAAAAGAACGTTGAATATCAATTCAACATACAATTTTTAAATAACACAATTACATCATGTTACATCAGCATACGGTTATGTTGAGGTTTTAACATAAAACTTTTAACAAAAACCGATTTAAATATAAGAACAAAATGTTTTTTATTGTGTATGTTACAAGTAGTTCGTGACCTCTCTTCGTGTCATTTGTGTCTTGAAGGGTTCGAAACCGAAGTATTTTTTGTAAATTCGTTGAAACTGAATGAATAAAAAATCAAAAGAAAAAGAAAAACAAAAGAAAAAGAAAGATAAGATAGAAATAATAAATAAATGCGAAATTTTTTATACATAGCAGAAGTGAAAGAATAAACCGTAAAACGTCACACGTCTTTGTAAATAATTTTTTTCGCGTTTTACGAAGCAGCGATAGATTGGCATGTGCAAAGTGGGCGATATGGCAATATAACGCGCATACGTTTCATGCTGACATTTGTAGCTTTACGAATTCCATTTTTTCTCCGGTAAGGTATCGTTTCCCCGAAATCGTTTATTACCGTTTCGCAAATTTTGCGGTAGTGCCCTTACGCGGCGAATCGTTTTCCGATGGTCGTTTCGCTTTACGAGCCTTTCGAAAACACCTGCACGCACACGTGTACGCGCGAGACGTTAATCCTTTAACCGTATTTATTTCTCCGATACGCGGGGAATTTAATTGTTAATAAATCAGTGACGGGAGATTTACTGAATTAGAAATGGATACGATGCAATTAATAATAATATCAATTCCAAATAATATAATTAAATAGCGTAACAGGAATGATCAATAAATAAACATTTCGATAATCTCGGTCAATTATTTCCGCTTGCGATTTCCCATTCTTCGATCGAATTGCAATATCAATTCATCCTCATAAAGAACGAAACGCGATGTTTAGTCGCAGTGAACGATAATTACCAGTCACCGAGCTGACTGGTCTGTCTTAAAAAATTCGGAACGTTTTGGAAATTTCGCTTGCAAAAAGTAGAGTGCATTGAGAAAAAAATTTCTTCAAATTTAATAAATTTTATTGCATCCGAACAAATTTCATCATTGGCATACTCCAAAGAAACTAATGTTTCGATTAATAAATACAATTGTTAGACTTTTCAACGAATATGTATCTTTATCTTAAATAAAAAATTTGCTCGAAACAGAAAAACGATAATTTTCCTGTAAAGAAAGAAATTATTTGTTTCATTTTACATACTTATTGTAACAAAATCATATCTTATTTGGTTAAAAGATATTATTTCAAATAATAATAATGTTCTTTCTGTTAAATAATGGGGTTTTCTTGAACGAGACAATAAAATTTTTACTCAAGCAAATAATATTTCGTATGTGTTGTTTCTGTGAAACAAATTTTAGTCAAATTAAATAGAAATACTAAATCTAAAAAAATCCTTTCCTGTGACAGCCGAATTGTCTGATTTGGTGTGACTTTTCATTCATATAAAGCGCATTCTACAGCTCAGAATGATCGAGCGAATATTTTCACACGGAACTGAAAAATTGATGCAACATACTCTATCATTGCAGGATCAAATTTATTTATATGGATTAAGAATCTTTCTCTCGTCCTAAACTTGAGTTAAATATTCATCCTCGTGATCCCGAATAACGGGATTATTTTCACCTTTGCTCCGTGTGAACTTTCATCCGTTTCTCAGCGAGACTTCACTTCGAGAAATTTAGATAGAACCGAAACATCTGTCTGGTCAGGTTTATCTTCTGGGAGCGGAGGAGAAGGTTCTGCCGTTTCGCGGCTACTTCTTCATTAACCAGACGGTCTCGCCCGTCTACCAGTGTCTCTACGTCTTCAACGTGATGGCCGGCAGCTTCGCGGGTGGCACGATAAGCAGCGCGACGGGCTTCATTCTGATCGCGGTAACGCACGGATCGGCAAAATTCTCGACGTTGCGAAGGAAGCTCGAGACGATGAGTTGCGACGATCCCAACATCAAACAAATTATGGCTGACTGTGTCAAGCGTCATCAGGATGCTATCGCGTAGGTGTCGATATCGCGTTGTGATTAGACGCCTTTTTGAATTTCTTCGAGAGAACGTCCGTTCAAAAAAAGCAACCGACAACCGAGCCAATTCAAACTTGAGTGACTTCTTTACACATACATATAAAAATATTTTGCTGGCATAGCAAATCGTTAGTTATTATATAGGGATTATTATATAGCAAAAACATTAGTTTGGACAGCAAAGAGATTTGTTAAGAGTATTAATTATTATTTGCTGAATACACAGACAGCAAGGATGGCAAGTAGGGAGTCTAACGGCTTTGACGATATCCTTGTAAATTACGTTTAGTATAATGTATTTTTACGGTGCGAGAACAAAAATTTTGATTCGAGCGTTCACGAAGCGAACAATTATATGTCAAGATAAACTGAATAATACTGAAATTGAATGAATATTTATTGAACTGATTGTTGACTCGATATATCGTTTGTGATAAACAGTGTTCTCTGTGTAAGTGTATTGATTTGTTTATGCGATTTGTCTATGACGTTTTGTGCGTAATAATTAGTGCGATCATCATCGTTCGCTCATTCTCTCGATTCTCTTTTTTCAGTTTCGCGGATGCGCTGGAGAGGCTCATAAACGTCCTGGCATTGGGACAGTTTGTCCTCAGCACCGGTCTGGTATGCTTCGCGGGATTCCAAATCACTTCGGTGAGTTTAAACGCTGAAGGATTGTTTATTAAGAAAATCATATATTAATGCAAGATGTTTCTTTAGATGTTGAAGAACAAAGGACGTTTGATGAAGTATTCGGCTTTCCTAAATGCCGCTATCCTCGAAATTTTCATGTTCAGTTTGAGCGGGAATGATTTAATAATTGAGGCAAGTATTCTTTTAGTCTTTTTTTCGATTAGTCGCACAAAATTAAAATCTGCAGAACTCGGCCGCTTGTATGTTGATGTCTCGCACTCGGAATGACATAAACATTGCCGTTCTGCCTGCAATTAATCAGTCCTTTTTCAACTTGTCAAGAGTTTTCTTATTTGTTATTTCTCTCGTTTTATACAAGCGGAAATCGTTGCGTAATCAAATTTGCACGACGGCGTGGGAGATTCATTCTAAAAGATTCTACGCTACAAATATTTCGCAAATACATTATAAATATTTCATAAACATGTAAATTTTGTTCCATGAAACTTGCAAAAATTTACAAATTTACGAAATATGTAAAATAAAATCCATACATTTTATATACATGTAAATTTGATAGAACAAAATTTACATATTTCATTGAATCGAGTGTATCGTTTTGTTATCGTGCTATCATATACGAGTTCGGGCGGATCTACTTCCGCAGATTATCATAATTTATTTCATAATTTAGTTTACAATACATTCTTCTACAACGCACACACACACACACATACACGCACACACACACGCACATGCACATATATATTTTTGACACACCGAGATAAATATTGAGCGCAGGGAACGTAAACAAGCACTAATAGATTTAATACACGGTAACTGCAACGATTAGCGACGCACGGATCTTCATTGCTACGCAGCCCACTGATCTCGTAATCGCTTTTAATTAATTTACGGCAAACGCCTGTAACGAACACCAGAGCGATGCCGTGGGCGAGTCGGCTTACAGCAGCGGTTGGATCGGCGGTACATTTGGCCAAAGTCTGCAAATCATGATGTTACGGTCGACCGTTCCTTCTAGGATCACCGCCGCCAAATTCTACAGCATGTCCCTTGAAAGCTTTGCCCGAGTAAGCGGCTTTTTATTTATTATACCACCGAATGGTAATTAAGATAGTATTTTAAATGGTATTGCGTTATTTAAAACCGAATTGTGTGGAGGAAAAAGCACTAAAACCGATACATCATTTTATTTTTGGGCTCTAAAGCCTTGTCGAAGGTGTAAAATTAAAATTTCTGTGCATGAAACGAGTAACAAGTCTACTAAAATATGTAATAGTCTTATGAAAATGATTATATATTACCTTGTAAATAATTATTTTTAAGATGTTTGAGGATCGAAGCTTCTATAAAATAGACCTTAAAACTGACATACCTACAATATACATATAGGAAATTATCAAAAGAATAAAATAGAAGCAACGAAATTACATTGCATATATTTTAAAATATTAAAAACTTTACGACGTATATTGCTTCTTTATCATATGGAAAGGGATCCCCCTGATTCCTTCTTTTCCGCCATTTTAAACAAACAAGAAAAACGGGGGACAATCGGTTACCAATAGCTTCAACTGTGTGCTGTGAAATAATATTTTACAGCGAAGTTCAGGTATGTTGGTCGAAAGATCGATAAACTTAGGTATCTCGGTTTACAGAGAGCGGGCGGCTGGAGCGACGTGATCGCGGAATGTGTTTTGTTCTTCGCAGGTGCTCAGCACGTCCTTCTCCTACATGATGGTTTTGACGGCAACGAGCGACGAGTAGGGATCAGCGTGCGGCATTGGCGATCTCGGCGCCGGGCTCCATCTCACAGAGAATACACGCTAGCCGAAGCCCGTCAGCCCGAAAATACACGCGCGGATCAAAGGGGACCTACGTGAAAGTCGCGGCGCGCTCTCAGGATCCGCATAAAAGGCGGATGAAGAAGAAGCGTCCGAAGCCGCAAGAGCTGCGGCGGCGGGACGAAGAGCGTACGACGACGGTGATGCGCGAAATGGAATATACCCTCCCCTCCCCCCTCCCTCCCCCCCTATAACGGCCCGCAAAAAGCTCCTCTTTCTATCTCTCTTTCCTCCCCTCACTCTCTTCCCCCGGGAAAAAATGATTATATATGATTATATATAATTATATAAAATTATATATGAATTTTGCCCATATATATGGTTACATATATGATCATATATGTCGGTACAAAAAAAATTATGTTATATCATTTAATTAAATGTTCGATGTCATTGTGCCAGAAGCACAAGTAGCACCAGAAACATTTATTTCGATTGTATCTGCATACAATTTGTAAACGACAGTATTTTTTCATCGTGGACATATATGATTATATATAGTTATATATGACTTTTTTTCCCCGGGTATCTTTCGGTTGTACGTGTTCCGTTAAATATGAGACATTACTCGGTGCTTTCGGGCGAACGCAGACACAGCAAATTGCCTTCTGATTAATCCCCCGGCCGATAGAACCATATTAAACCGCGAGGGCGGTCGCTACCCCCCGCAGCACACTGACCCAGTAACTCCGTTAAACACACCGGGACACACCGGCGACCTCGGTATCCTCATTGCACAATACGGTAGCGTAATCGGCGATACCGCAACAGCGACAATTTGTCCTTGCCCGTTCTGCCGAGTTCGGTCTAGTAAATTACAGGCTGATTCGTAAGTTGCAACGTGACCTCACGCGGCGTGCCCGGCTCGGTTAAGTCCGGGAGTTGCGATATTGTACGTATATCGCGATTTAGAGTTCGATCGAGTCAGATCGCGCCCAATGCGAGCCTCACCTTCTCTCATTACCGTTTGGTATCGATGAACAGAGTCTTCGTTGGATTCCCAGAGCGTTTCCAAGATCTCGATTTTCAATGTTAGGCTTCTCGGAATTTTCGGATTCTTGAAAACGGGAGATACGCGTGGGAGAGAATTCTTGGCGATATTCGGAATTTAGGATGTTCATTTATTTTTATCTATTTTATTTATTTTTATTCCTTGGTCGATAAAGTCTTGACGTTTTACGCTTTTAGAAAATTAGATTATTCTTCTGATTCATAGGATCTTCTTTTTTATTCATCATATTTTTATATATTAACGACCTAGTACTTTTTTAGACGTTCTTAGGACCTTAAAGTTTCGGATCTTCATGCCAAACTTCTAGCCTCGCGACACCCGGGATTCTCAAACCTTGGAACTCATTAATTCGCAAACGTCTAATACCACAAATCTCTGTCTCCTCCTCAAACATTTCTCTCGATTCTTCACTCGACACATTTCCAGACCCCCGGTAATCCAGACCTTGTTTGTACTTAACGCGACTCAACCGACTTCCTGATATCCTCGAACATTTGGTACCATTGCTCGGCGCCAGCGAACTTCCTTCCAGCCCCTCGAGTGTCAGTTCTAACGTGACCTCGACGTAGGGAACAGCTCGAGGTAAGCGTTTCTTCCGAGACCTAATGGTGCCACCCGAGAGCGGCGTCTTATGGAACGCCTTGTACACACAACTCACCGGCGTCTCTCGCGATGCTCCCTTTTCCTGGGCTGATGTCGTCGGGGTCAAAGAGTCGGGTAACGTCCGGACGAAATGGCACGGTGAGCTTCTTCGAGGTTTTCGCTCGCTCGCTCGTTCGCTCCTGGTGGGGTAAACCGCGAGCGGGACTCTTGGGAGCGACTCGAGGGTATTTTCATCGCGGCAGTGCAACACGTGCACCCGGTGCAGCCAGTGCACGCATCCGCCTCGACTACTCGCCGGCAGCTCGCGCTACGAGACCCGTCGCCGCGGCTCCAGCCAGCCTTCCGGAAGATGCGAGTCGCGAGAGGACTCGGTGATCACTCGCTCGTGTCCGCCTCGTTGTTCGACTGATCTCCTCGTGACCAAGCACAGCCGTTCCTCGGCGGAGAGAGCACCGTTGGCGGGATGCGGGAGGCCGGATGACGCCGCTCGTCCGCGAGACGGCAATATGGCGAATATCAAGGTGGCCGTGCGCGTGAGACCGATATCTGTTAGGTGAGTGCGCGACGTTTCTCTCCGCTTGGAATGAGATACGTTGTCATCTCCCGACTCGGATGGAACATTGAATAATATCACGTTTCGACATTCGCGACACCGTACTCCGATGGAAATGTTAGGCCGAAAATTTGATTGAAATTCCCTCTTAAATGACCTCACTTCACTATCGTTCCGCCAATGTGCGCAGTTTTCAATTAAATTCAGTAAATTTCAACGGTACATCTTAACTTTCCTTATATTCGAGTACTGGTATACTATGAATTTGATGAACGGTGAGACGAAAGTTATTGCAGAAATTACTATAGAATATATAATAAATATTACAAGATAAATCATAATGTTCACCATAAAATTCAATGTAATACTGTGAAAATTAAAGTATAACTCTGAAAAGTAATAAAAGAATTTTTGAAATATTACGTGCCATGAAATTTACCGAATTAAACTGAAAATTGCGTATATTAGTGAAATGAGGTCAATTGAGAGAGTATTTCAGCAAAATATTTCCAGGGGTCTGCTTGCCACAGTTGCCAGGCGTTGAGACAAGTGTTTGATATTTGCGACTATAATTTTGCACAGTGAAATAATTATATATAGCTATGTATATAATTATATATAGCGAATTATATATAGTCCAGAAAGCTATGTTTTTTGTAGTAGATGCTACCAGGGTGTTAGTGACGACAACCTTGTAAACATACAAAATGTTCTTTCGGTATATGTGGTGGTACGTGATGAGAGTCGGAAAGAACGAACGAGTAAGATCGTATTGATCGATATTGGATTAATATCCCGATACGACCTCGTAAAGATATTACGGAAAAGGTCAAGTAAGAGACGAAAGAGTCCACCAGGGCAAGACGGACGGGACGAGTCGATATATTTCTCAGCTGAGATACACTTTTAGCCGAGCGTGTCGCTAATGAAGCTGAAAATAATGTAGTTTCTTTCGTCGCAGTGGATATTCCAGTTAGCTTCCTGTGAGTTTGTCACGTTCTTCTCGTGTTGAACCGTTGAATCGTAACTCTTTGAAGGAAAAACGGCTATGAACTATAATATATTATAATTATAATAAGTTATAATTAATAGTTATAGCTCGTAGGTTCAATTAATTTTGGTTTATTAAATTAATTTCAGACGATAGTTTAAATTAATTTGAATTCCTCTGTGTCGCAATTTGACATTTTAACAATGCCAAAATATATGATAACCACACTTTATTGCAAATGTGCACCGAGAAAAAGATTTCTTTAAATTTAATAAATTTTATTACATCCAAGCAAATTTCATCATTGGCATGCTCCAAAGAAATTAATGTTTCGATTAATAAGTACGATTGTTAGACTTTTCAAAGAATATACATCTTTATCTTAAATAAAAAATTTGTTCGAGACAAAAGACAATTTTCTTATAAAGAAATTATTTGTTTCATTTTACATATTTACTGATGACCAAATGATATTTTATCCGATTAAAAGATATTATTTCAAATAATTAGCGTTCTTTCTTAGTTAAATAATCGAGTTTTCTCGTATGAAATAATAAAATTTTTACTTAAACAAATAACATTTCGTATATGTTTTTTCTGTGAAACAAATTTTAGTCAAATAAATAGAAATATTAAATCTAAAGAAACTTTTTTCTCTGTGTACGAAGACGGAAGATATACGAGTTTATATTTCAAGTTACAAGTTTTTGGGAGGATTTAATTGGACGTCAGAAAAATCGCGTCTATCTCTGTCTTTTTCGCTTTCGCTTGCGAATTTCAACGTACCCACCGATGTGGGTCAAGGTTTATGGCTTCCTTCGCTGTACCTTTCTCGACTAGTACATAACACGGTGGTATATAGTACGTAATATCTTGACGAGGACGATGATTAACCTAGCGATAATCGCACGTTATTTTCACGCACCGGTACCAGCGCGAATTATTGCAACGAAAATTATTATACAGTGACGAAGGAGTTAAACCGTTCAAATAACAGGGGTGCCGAAATGGCAGCGAGATTTTCTCCTAACCTAAGTTGCCTAATTTCGGAGCCGACTGAGGTCAAGGTTTACGACTTGACTGTGTTTTGCAAAATACGTTTTTGTTACCTTTACGATTCGTACGCTTACACGTGCTCGGAGGATGTGTCGAAGGATCATATATATATGATCCTTCGTGCTTCTTACGAATGGGAAGTTTGTGTCTTTGGATGATTGAAATTTTTCATTTGGAGGTTTCGTTGCACATTCACAGCTCAGCGCTGCTAGATTTTGCCCGATCGAGCTTCAACTTCACAATTTGAGCTGAAAACTTACATTTGCTGATCTTTATGTTCTTTAATATTTCAAGTTGCGTAACTTTTTCTTGATATTTAGATATCTTGCTGCCTAATTGCTATAATTTCCTTTACACCTTATGATATCAGGAATGAAGAACTAGAAGGAAATAAGAATTATTATTATTAACTATTCGTGCTCTGGAATTTTTATATTTTTCCATTCCCGAATCTCCGAAATTCTCATATTCCTCAATCCTGTGAAGCTTCTGATTTTCGATTCTTTTTTCTCCGCGTAAAATTTTTTTACACCTTAAAATTCCCAATTTACGCCCGCGCGCAAGCAACCGCTCCATGCAAACACTTATGAACTCGTTTCTATACTTAGACTACTGGGGTGGCGGCAAAAAGACGACCGCTCGTCCGCGAGCGACAGGAGGCGGCCGGAGCCACCGGAAGCGCAGACGAAAGCAATTGAGCGTCGAGAACTTGAGGACTTTCTGGGAAGGTTTCTGTAGCGAGTTATTGCGCGCTTATTCACGGTACAAATCGTAATTAAAGTGTGATTCATTGCGCCAGTGCACCCGGTCGCGCTGCGCCACAGTCGAATAATTTAAGGGAGCTTAATTATGGATCACCGCGGCCTCGCGCAACCGTCGAGAGCTCGCTCAGCCTTTTGAACATTTTAGTGAAATATCGCTCTCATACTTGCGACAAATTGGACTGTTTCTTCAAAGAATGCAAGTTTAATAAAGAATAAATAAGAGAGGGGGAGGGAGGGAGAGGGAGAGAGGGAGACAGAGAGAGAGAGAGAAGGAGAAACCCTATAAGCGTGTAATATTCCAAGAATATTATATGAATATTATTCAATATTAAAATAATATTCTTACAATATTCTAAGAATGTTATGTAATAGTTTTTAATATAATAGGAATATTCTATTGATATTATATGTCAGTTTCAGATAATATTCTTGGCATATAAAAATGTTCTTAAAATATTTAAAAAAGTAATAATATAAAATAATACATATAAAAAATACATATAAATAAAATATACATATACATATTTATAACAAATTATACATATATATGTGTATATATAATATTATATACACATATATATGTATAATTTGTTTTTAATATAAAACGTATTTTTACACAAAATTCTTTTGACTTTATTTATATGATAAAACAATTGGTATTGCAATATATATTGGAAATAAGAAACTACAATTATATATATTATATATATACACAGAATTGAATATTTAAAAAATACATAATATTACAATAACACTAAATAATATTACTAGAATATTATTAGAATATTACGTCTAATGTTCTAAGAATATAGCCAGAATATTACTTAATATTAAATAATATTATGCACTTAGAAGAAAGAGACTATCTCGGATAAGATTTAGTTGTCCGAAAAGGCGACTTTGGTTGTTTTAGGGACGCCCCTGCACGCAATTGTGCGAATCAAGTAGAGCCGGTATTTAGACTCAAGCCGCGGGTATTTAAAGGCACAGAATGAGGTCTCGCGAAATTCGTTTACGGCAGGAAATGAATGATTTTGCACGGCGAAGTCAATTATGCGCGACCATGCGAGCATTGCTCAAATTTCTTTCGAGCTTTACTTGTGTAAGTGCGCGTAGCTTGTTAACACTGTATGCACGTCGCCTGGCATTACATATGGTAAATCTTCGGTACTTACGTTTGTGATTTTTAGAATTCTTTGGTTTGCAAAATTCTTTGAAAGTTTCTGATCCGAAAATACTTTTAGATTCTTTAATTTCTTAGTTTTAAAAGTTTTGTATCACAAATAACCCACCCAAATTTTTTGTGTTACTTTAACAAGGTGATTATGTTAATTTAATATGTATATTTGTGTACTTTTTAACATATTTTCCATGTTAAAGTAAGAAAGTAAGTAAAAATTTCTATAGACCGTTTTGCCAATGTTAATTTTACGACTATTTATTGCTTGTTCGAATAAAAGAAAAATGTTCGGACAATTTTACAAGTGTGCTGAATCAATCACAAATGCCATTTTGTGAATATATATTTTTATTTATAACACAATATGTATAATGTAAAAATTCTTGACATGCGTTTTCTTACTCACTGACGTCGTTAGTTGCAGCGACGGAACAGGAGCCTCGAATTTCCTCTCAAGTTTCTTATCGAAAAAGTTAAACATAGAGATATATTTAATATAGATTTTGCGAATTGCACGATTTTTATTCGCATCGGCCAACCGACTGTTTCGATTTTTTTCGCGAGCCACACAGAGAAAAAAGTTTCTTTAGATTTAGTATTTCTATTTATTTGATTAAAATATGTTTCATAGAAGCAACATATACGAAATATTATTTGTTTGAGTAAAAATTTTACTGTCTCATTAAAAAAAATTCTGTTATTTAACAAAAAGAACGCTATTATTTGAAATAATATCTTTTAACCAAATAAAATATTACTTGGTTACAATAAATATGGAAAATGATGCAAATAATTTCTTTATAAGAAAATTGTCTTTCGTTTCGGACAAATTTTTTATTTAAGATAAAGATACGTATTCGTTGAAAAATCTGACAGTCGTATTTGTTAATCGAAACATTTGTTTCTTTGGAGCATGTCAATGATGATGAAATTTGTTTCGATGCAGTAAAATTTATTAAATTTAAAGGAATGCATTTCTCAGTGCACGAACTTCGTTACTTGCCGTTCCCGATTGCGCGCATAGTAGGCCGCTTAGTGCTTTCGGGGGAAGAGAAGCTCGAGTGGGTCTGTACTCCGAAAATACTCCCATTGACTTAGCGTGGGGTTGCCGTATGGGTGAGGCCAGGAGCGGGTCCATGGTTTTGGTATGAAGACGACCTTACGTTGACAGTCGCTGCACATCCGTTCCGTTTATAGTCGCCGCGGCGGCCTGACAGGTACGCGTATACTGTCTTAACACGCCGGCATTGTTATTTTCGTGCTATCGCGCCGAGAATTGAGGGTATGCCGTGTCACATGCGAAAAAGCGCCCGATGCGAAACGCAGCGGCGCAGAGATTCTCAAGAAAATATGCAAATTCATCGAGTGTACAAAAAGTAATACAAAATGCGGATCGGTTAGTTCGTCTAATTTATAGTTTATTGAGCAAACTGAATGCTCGTTACTGAGTAGGATTAATAATATAACAAAAGAAATTATGTTTGGGAGCAATTAGTGTAGGACAAAATTCTGTTGCCGGAGCAACTAATTATAAAATAGAAATTATAGAAATAATTCCCCATATTGATCTATTAAGGCATCAAATTTTTGTCAGCAGTAAAAAGATATAGTTATGCTTTCAAATATGTTGAAAATCTTATACCATATTTTTCATAGGTTTCGATCAAATTTGTTTTTACTACATACCACGATAAATCTATTGCGCTATAAATTAAAATTTTATCAAGTATAATCATAAATTTGATAAAATTTGCTAAGTTAATATATGAAGTCTTACAACAGCAAATATTTTCTTTGCGTTTGTTTTGCATTATTGTTCCCTTCTAAAGTCGATTTTTACTGACATTACACAGTTATTCTATTTTCTAAGGAAATTTTCTAAGATCGAAAGTCTTATGTAATTCTTGAAAGTAAATATTTATATGTATAAGTGTTTTGGAAAAATATGTATGTGTCGCGTGTACTTATTATTAAATTCTTTTAACTACGTATTATCATCTAACTAATTATCTTCTAACATCGTATTATTGGAAATTCAAAGATCGAAATATTCCGGGATCTGATAACGCAGAAATTTATGAAATTAAATTGTCTTCGTTCTGATAAATTTAAATGGATCGATGAAAGTATCGGATTTACGAGAGAGGAAGGTAGAGTTGTCTGCAGAGAGGAAGATTATCTAAATCGAGGTTCAGTAAAAATAATACTCCCCAAGTCTATTACACCATTTAGCTTGTCAACGACCCCGTTGGAAGCGATCTGTTTCTAGCAGAGCCCTTTCTCAAGCGATTAAAGCGCAAAGATAAATAAACAGAGCGTAGACGAACAAGCTGCAGCATCTTCAATCACGACGCCGTAGGTTCCACAATATATTATACGAACTTTAAAACGTTAATTAAACCATAAATTATATTATTATAAAGTTCATAAAATTAACTCGCTTCACTTCAATTTAATTTAATTCTAATTTAATTTCATACCTAATTCAATTGAACATTTCATTCCTTTCAGTTCTAATTTCAACGATTATTCTATTCGTTTGTTTTCTTGCTTATGTGTTGCAAGTAAAATGATTCCGAATGTACATTCGTTGACGTTAAGTAATTAAGTTGCTTGATTTTTATTTTATTGTCACCACATCGTACAACTGTAAATATAATTAAATGTGACGTAAAGTTAAAAGAAATCAGCGGTAGAATTTGTTATACAATTTTCTCGTTTATTATCGTGTTCTTTCTCTGTTTTATCCCAAGATCTGCATTTTGATGTTTATATCTCTTTCGGACATCCTTTCGCAAAAGAATGGGAGAAGAATGTCGCGGCTCAGTGGCTCTATCGTTTCGTATTAACGCGACATATTAACAATGGACATCTCAGATTTTAACGCTTGCGACCGAATCGTGAGGCACGGAACCGTAGCGTCCGATTATTAGGACTGGGCGAGTCTAACAGGCCCGATAAGATCACGCGAAAGTCGGGATTAAAGTACCACTGCATTGTTCCTCCGGCACTCTGGCATGTTCTCCTCGCGAGGATATCGCGCGCGCGTAATCACGCTTGCCGTCTGTCGCGGCACGCAAAATGCAACGCCACACGACATCGGGCTGACCCGAAAACGCGAAACCGCGCGTCCGTAATTCGCGATGTAAACCGCGCGGCTCGGCGCGGTTCGCCCTCCCCCCCCTCTTTCCCCGAAACTTGTTGCATGCGATTCGTCTTCGAGGACACTGGAAGGCACCCGGAATTACGCTTTCTTCTTATTATATAACCAAAGAATTTATTTACAAAGGACATACGATTTGTACATTTTGTGAAAAGTAATTTTAGAAACGTATGAACATATTTGGAAAGTCAACGTGACAAGAGACAGAGGAGAGATAATTTAGAGATAAGGCAGTTTGAAGCGGTTTCCGTTTTTCGGCTGAATAGCAACGTTTTGATTTTATTTTTCTAAGTTGTCGAATTAAGCTAAATAAATTGAGTTTTAATTTTACTTAATGTTTCAATAGTTGTAGAATCTATTGATGACACTTTCAGGAGTCCTGATCCAACCGGGACACTTGGATTTCCGGTGGGTTTCCAGTTTTTTGTATTTTCGAATTTCTATGATATTTCATCTTGAATTCTTTTGATTTTATCTCAATTTTAATCCCGTATTATTTATGTGAAGTCTCTTACGGATTCGGAACATGTATTTTTAATAACAGTGGAACGGAGAGAGAGAGGGAGAGAGAGAGAGAGAGAGGGAGAGAGAGAGAGAGAGAGAGAGAGTGAGAGAGAGAGAGAAGACGTCACAAATGTTTCGGAACTGTCAATTCGAACCGGAACACGTTAGCTTACGTTCTCACGATAAATACGAGTCTTCCGCGGAAAATATATCTGATGCACGTGAAATAAAAACACACTTAAAGCGGACGGTACGTTGTACTGAGAGTCTAAAATTAACAAAATATTAAGACCTGAAGAGATAATTTTTTTATATGAAGCAGCCGGGGAAACAGTGTGATTGTGTGGTCGCGCGAAACGCTTTGAGAAAATCGGGCAAAGTCCTCGATTAAATAATACGGGGGGGGGNNGGGGGGGGGGGGGGGGGGCGCACACCCCCGTGTGAACGCACGGTGTATGCACCGCTTTTCGATGAATCGATTCCAATCCACGAAGCATGAAAAAATGTGCTTGGTAAAAAAGCGAGAATAGAATAAAAAAAAAAGAACGGTAACACGTGCCGCAACGAGGAAAGTGGTGAAACGATGCCGGCTTCGAAAATGTTAGCGAAGCTGGCTGTGTCCGCAGTATCTCTCGCGGGAGTTCATTGACCCAGCCGGTCCCCCCCCTCCCTCCTTCCCCCGCACCCCCTTTGCAAATATTTCGATAGTGTTGGACTCGTTACTCCTCCTTTTTTCGTTAAATCGACCGATTCCGCGGATCCTCTGTGACGAAATAATTCGTACGGCACGTGATGAAGTTTGGATGTGCGATGTGATTCTTGTAGCAATTGACAAGAAAGTTTTATTTTTATTCGTTATAAGTGAAAGTCTGTAGCACCTAGAAATTAATTTTAAAGAGAACCGCAGGTCCTCTTTGATTGCTTTATATTAGATCAAATAGTATAGATTATATTTTCGTGTCTTCTCGAGTGCTAAAAAGAGTGGTGAAAAAATCTACAAAAGTCTAAATCTACAAAAGCGGCATTCATATACCTGTGAGAACGGAGAGTTACTGAGCTTTTGATAAAAAATTATTTCTCACATTAAATCATCAAAAATAAAGAAGAGAAAATATTTAGTCAGCCGCAACGCCGTGAAAATGAAAAATCCTTCCAGAATAAACAACATTTTTTCATCTCGATAGTGTAAGTTACTTACTTGCGCATGCTGGCCGTTCCACAGCACGAAAACGGAGGGATTATCAGAAATTACGGAGGTTATTTTCTCGTTTCGTTATTTAAGTCTCTCTGGTGAATTAAGCAATATTATAAAATAATCCGTGGTCGATTTCACGCACACAGCGTGACCCGCATTAATAAAACAGAAACTTGCGGTTTCGCCTCGGGAAGGCTGCTATTGACCAATCGTGCTTCTTTTTTATCGAGTTTAAGGAGTACTACTAGCCTGAGCATTTTCGAATCGTCCTGTACAACATTATTATTACATTTACATTTTAATAATACAACTCATTCTACGATGCGTCACGGAAAATTGTCACGTAAATTTTTACTTTGAATATCCGCGTGATAAAAACGCTCGTTCATGTAATCCTGAAGCATTAAGTGGCATTCCAGTCAGTGTCACCCGTCGAACCTCATTGACGAGTTTCGGCTAAATGGTGTACCAGTGACGTTCATTTTTTCATCGCGCAGGGAATCGAAGCTGACCGGGTCGCAGGTGGTGGTCCGCGCGGAGCCGAACGAGATCTCCTTGACGAATCTAAAAGTGTCGTCGAGCAAGGCCGGTGATAGCCGCGAAAGGACGCGGAGGTATGGTTTCGACTACTGCTTCGACTCGTCCGATCCCGAAGCGAAGAATTACGCGACGCAGGCGACGATCTACCAGAGCCTCGGCCAGTCCATCCTCGATGCGATGTTCGCCGGATACAACTCCTGTCTGGTGGCTTACGGGCAGAGCGCGTCCGGCAAGACCTACACTATGATGGGCACGAAGGTAAAGCGTGCGACGCGCGTATTTTTCTCTCTCTCTCTCTCTCTCTTTCTCTCTCTTATGATAATTTCCCGCTGGATTATTTGGACGCGGGATTATCGTTGGAATTTAATGAGCGAGCCGCCGCATATTTAATTTCCGCATTTTAGTTTGCATTCACGGACACGATGTAAAATGTATCGGGGCGAGGGGCGCGGCGGGGGCGCGTTTAATATAATTTTCCAACATTTTTCTTAATTTCAGAATTTCAAGCGCGATTAATTATAAATTTACTTGGCGCGGATTCCCGATAATCGGACGCATGAATAATCGAGCGTTTTAGCTTATTTTGACTTTATAATGGCGACACGTCACGAAATGCGCAAATGTGCGCGTGATAAATAATAATTCATAAGGGTATTACGAGTTATTGCCAACTATTGTAATACACGTTTAATCAGCGCGTTAATAATATTAACTTTTTCCCCGATGGCGATGCTTCTGAATTGCTAATTGTGAATATTGAAAAAAATGCATATTCTCGCATATTTCGATATTAAGGTAGAGAATTTCTCGCTCATCTTAAAGAGAGAGAGAGAGAGAGAGAGAGAGAGAGAGAGAGAGAGAGAGAAATACTGCCTATATCATAAAAGAAACTGTAAACCGATTGAAAAAAAAATTATCAATTTTCAATTATCAAAACTATATAGCCGAAATTTCGTTCAATGACAGAGTTGAATGAATTAGTGAATGAGTGCCCGCGCGCGCGCGCGTGTGTGTGTGTGTGTGTGAGAGAGAGAGAGAAAGATCTTATACACGTAGAAAGCGCATTTGCGATTTCGCGCACGTCCGCGCCGCCCGCGAAAATACATTTCGCATTTTATGTCTATTTTATCAGCGTTGTTTTTGCACGACAGCGTTGCGGAACTCTTTTACCATCTGAATAAACCGGCGATGATGTGTTTACGGGTCAACGTGCAATGTGCAAATTGTTTCGATTTATCTCGTAATAAATCTGATTGGCACTTTATTTCCATTTTTGTGGGCATAATAGACCTCTTCCACGCATCGTCGAGCGTGCGCCGTTTTGTCAGCACGCCGGCGGTATTATTTCCAAAAACGGGACGCGCGTGCGCGCGCGAGCCGAATTATTTTGATTTATTTCGCGTTTCATTAATACATCGCAAAACGCGTTATTCTTTTTCCTCCGCGCGTGTTTTTTTACCTCCGTTTCTTTTTTATTTCCCGCACGCACGCACACACACACACACACACACACACACACACACACACACACACACACACACACACACACACACACACACACACGTATACACAAACGCACACAATACGGCGGTAGGAGCAATCTATTTTGCTTTTATTCGGACCGAGCGCCGTTCTGTTGTCATCAGTGTTGTACGCGCTGACGTTTTCGCAATATTTCCGCAAAATATCCGCGCAAAATGTGTACATACACACGCATCCCGATCTGAAAGTTTCCGTACGGGAGCGGGTCCCAGCCGGAAGATGCGTTAATTAATTTCGCTGGGAAATCTTATTAACTTTTTGGCGCGACCTCTCGCGAAAATCGCGCAGACAATTAATCTTCCCGTCTCTCCGGGAGGATCCTCTGTCTTTCGTGGCGATGATATCAAGGGAGAAAAGGATTTGCTGTTAGAATTGTTACCTTAGCAAATCTATAGCCGTGCCATACGGATAGTTACTTTTTTTATGTCGCAGCAACTAATCTTCGAAACTATATAAGATTAATGATTACACCTGATAAAAATTAAGATCGATCGTGTCAAACTGTTTGCAGAGTAAAGCTAGTTTTTGTAGGTAATATCTCGATTATTGCAGGAAATCACTTCGCATTGTCGCGTAATTCGGTTTGCGAAATAAATTCATTTATATTTTACCAGAAAAAGCATGTCATAAGATTTTCGTTCGTATTGTAGAGAAATGATCCAATTTAGCTTTATTTAAGATAGACGTGCGGAGTAATTTTCAATAGGAATTGATTCCTATCACTATGAACAATATTGCTTTAACTAACTTCCATTGCTGGAGCAACTAATTATCAACAACGAAATTCGTTAATATACTCAATTTTCCTGGATACGACAAGAGGATTAATTATCTCGACAAACCAAAATCTCGTTGAATATTCTAAGGTATATTTTTTATCGATTTTAGTAGAGAGTCGTCTGTGCTGCGTCAACAAATTTGCCGTGCTGTAATATCAAACTTTATCACACGCAGATAACTTTCCTCGCGAATATATAAACATTCATGAAGCGAAAAAATAAAGTCTCGCTTGGCTAGAATATGTTTTTAACGTCGAGACAATTTCAAGGAAGTATGGGAAATTTAGAAAGCAACGCAAATAACATGATTATAATTGCTTATCGTTACTCGGATTATGTCACAACTATAACGAATAACCTGTCTTTTGTTGTCTTCATAGACGCGCATACACAATAGTTTTTTTTATTATACGTTAGACGATAATTATTATCCAAGACAGAATTTTTGATAAAATGCCGAGGAAATGCGAAAATGGACCGACAATTAGATTATCTCAAAAGATGAGTCATTTTATAGGCGAAATAACTACTGTTTGAAAGGTGGCAACAGGTTATTAACAGCAACGATCAATATTTCGATTAAAATATTATGTGTCATCTTATTATTATTAATAAATAAAAATGGCTTTACACTACACAAATTTATACAAGCATCTAATGATTATGATATTCCAGTATTCGTTATGACTCTTTTATTATATTCGAAATTGGTTACTAATATATAAAATTTAGAGTAAAATCAAATTTCTTTGGATAAATATGGAGCTATGTATTACTTCACTTGTTAAAAAGAACAGATGCGATTGTCGCAAATTGGGACACTGTCACTTATTAGGACATTACTGTAACGTAGAAAACTGATACTTTTGCTACTGTTTGTTGAGTTAGTATACTTTTCAGTTGTATTTGTTGTACCAAACAAATCCTTCATCGTCCCGTGAAATGTTTCATTTCTGCTAGCTACGCACAACAGCCTCGCATAGACATTTCGTATTCCGCGTGAAACGGTGCCGATGCATATTTAAAACTCAAACAGCATTAATTTGATTATCGGCTGTCCTCCTCCTTCTCCTCCTCTTCCCCCTCTTCTTCATCCTCCTGCTCCTCCTCCTCTTCCTCTTCTTTCTCCCCTTTACCCGCCAGCCAATTCCATTCACTAAATTATCATATCGCATCGCCGGCTCTAATTGGCCGACAAGAGGGAGAATGGCGTTCTCTCGTTGCGGGATCGAATCGACGTTCCGTTTCTCGTCCCGAAAATTTCAAACAGTAAATTGAAACTGTTTTTGCGGAATGGCGCTTAATTAAATTGCCCGCCGACCTCCGCCGTATCTGCGCGCGCGCGCGCCCTCACAACCGGGGGTGCATCCGGAGTGGTGGTGCTGGGGGATGCATCGTGCTGCGGCGGCGGGATAGGTGGGTGGGTGAGCAGACTTTTAAAAGCGCAGCACGTGTTGCGGCCGTACAGCGCACTCGTTTGTCGGGTTTCAATTATAAAAGGACGCTTCGAGCGGTGGTTAATAATGCATCAAATTTCGAGATTGACAAGACCCCCTTGTTAAGGCGCAGCGCGTTGTTTCCGGTCCGAATAAGCTTTATTGACTGACTGTATGCGTCATCCTCGTAGACGATAAATACCTCCCTTCCCGTTCATCTCCATTTTGCTCTCGATCGTTTGCAGACCCTGCAGCAATATTTATCGCGGGTATCACGCCAGATAGCTAGTCGTAAAGTGACACTTCACGATAATCTTTTTATTAGATCAATAAAAAATAATTGTGATTTTTCTTTTATTAAATAGAACTCTGCATCTTGCAGCTTTTCGCAGCCTCTTGTTGAAACATAGATTCTAATTGTAAGTTCTAAACATAGATTCGATTTATAAGAGCCGACGCGATTGTTGATGCGAATAAATTATTTTATATGGGAGGATAAATATGTTTGACGGTGCACTCGTCGTACTAGTCCGTTATACTTCTCAAACGTACGCGGAAAATCTTTCTTTCATTTTCAAATCGATCCTGTATTCCATTATTAATAATTTTATTAACTCTCAATTCCTCCAAACTAATAGTTAATTCAAATAATCCTTTGATTTGATTCTTTGTTGGAAATATAATGATTTATTTATTGCTTTACCCCAAAGAGAAGACCTAATGTAATTTTATTTAACATACTGAACGTTATTGATATTAATTTTTTAAACCTTTTGTAATATTAACATCGATATTAATCTTTCCTTCCCCATTAATTTTTATTGCTGTTATAAAATTGCTATAAAACATTTGAGAATTATATATTTAAATCTTGAATAAAGAATTTCAGACGACGAGCTAATATTGAATCACAAGTCATAAATAACATACGTTTTTTTTTAATTTTACTTTCAAATGTAAAATATTTTGAATATTTTAATCGACTATAATTTATATAAATTTTGTAACGTAAATATTTATCGTTATTAAGAATGATTTGTGTTCTCCTATTGTATGTTCCATTAAATGGAACCTGTGTCCCAATTAATAGACAGCTCATTTACTTTTCTATAAGTAGTAGGAAAAATGAGCGTTTGCAAACTTTATCGAGAGATACTTGCGACTCGTGATACTTTGAAATTCACGGTGAAAGATCTCTCAAACAGGATGTAATTTTTGCGCTTTTCCAGGAGGATCCAGGACTCATTCCACGGTTATGTGAAGGTCTTTTTTCACGGGTCGAGCAAGAAGACGGCCGCGAGAGGATCTATCACGTCACTATTAGGTAAATACCAAAACTTGTTCAAGTCTTCGGGAAATGAGCACGCGAAGTTTGCAACGTGGATACGCGATCTGAAAAATAGTGGATTCCCGTTTTTCGTTTCTCACTTTGCATGATTCGCGTAACTAAGTGAAACAAGGTATTAGGTGTACAAATTAATTCGATGTCTTTTCTCATGAAATTCAAAGTTTATTTACAAAAAGTCAAGTACAAATTTAATGTTCGAAATAATTTCCATTATTTTCTATGACTTTACCCCATCTATCGGGTAACTGATGAATGCCCTTGCGGAAAAACTTGGCGGTTTTGACTCAGTAAAGTCATCAATGCTTTTTCAGACCTCGTCAACTGTTTTAAAATGCGTATCCGCCAGGTTACGTTGTAACGACCAAAATAGGTGATAATCCGACCGGGCTAGATCTGGCGAGAAAACCTTATGAGGGAGAATTTCCCAACCCAATGTATAGATGAGATCCTTCGTCCCTTTTGTGGCATATGGCCGCGCGTTATCGTGCTGCAGAATCACCTGTCTAGTTCTATTGCCGGTAAAAGGTTTTTTTTACAAGTTTTATGGGTCACAGCACTGTCACTCAAAGCGGAACAAATCATTTCGGTAGACTGAACAGCATTTTTATTCAACTGGAGTATAAAACGGATGCAGTGCCTCAAATGATTATTTTCGAAAAACATCGCGATAACTACTCTTATGAGGTTTTATCGGCAAGGTCGTCAACTATTAAAGTGCTTCTTAAAGCTTAAGATTGGCGCTTTTAAATCACCATGTATAGGACGGGAAAAAAATTTTAATTTAAACCAGGGTTATAGGACATTAAATGCAAGGATACCGAATTAATTTGTGCATCTGATATATAACGCGTACGCCAATTCAATTTGATAAAAAATCAATTTGATAAAAGATTTGCCTAAAAGTTGCATTTTTCTCTCGCGATATTCCAACAATCGTCGGCAAATAAAGTAATAGTAAGGTAATAGTTTAGTTTCGATCATTAGAAGTATAATTAACATTGTTAGACATTATTTTGCTTCTTCGACTTATCATCAGAAATTATAATCATACCCGATATCCTACGGTAATACGGCTAAGACGCGATAAGAACGCCGAATAAGACCGCAAGTTCTCGTCGATACTGTCGACAGGGAACTTTCCGATCGCCGCTTAAAATGCCCCAAATACTCCGATACTTTGTACTAAGTACTTGGAGAGATATTTGCGAGAGCGGCACGTTGCACGTGCCTTTCCTTTTTACCCGCCGGAAGTTCGCCGCGCCTCACCGCAGCCCCGATGAAATCTGCTCGCATTCTTTTATTTGCCGTTTCGCGGTTGGCTCCGCCGCGTAGCGCTTCCGGATCTTCTTGAATATATTAATCCACCTCCCTCCCCCTCCTCTCCCCCGAGCGATCGACTCCGCTCCCTTGAACTTCTTTGTATTCTTCGGAAAGTTTGAGCGTGAAATTAGAAATTGCACAAAATGCTTTTTATTCTGCCAGCGATGGAGAGTTCGATAAATTCGCGAAGTGAGGCTGTCATTAATTCGTATAATTGTTTTTGAAAATCTGACCGATATCTTCAATTGAACGAGAAAGGAATTTACGAACGGATTTACTTCGGTTATCGAGTCATCTAATTTAATCAGATATTAAAGTTGACTTATTTTGCATCAAGTTATAAGTAACATTCTTTCACTGTCTTGTAAATTAATTTCTGCACGAAATATTTTACATCGAAGCTCTTAATCTAACGTAATTGTCATTAGTGACGATTTTTCTTTTTCACTTAGTGGATAGCTTAATAATGTTTTTTGTTAGTGTTTGGAAAAAATAAATATTTATCAACTATATTACATTCTCTACACTTCTTGGGGCGAGATCTTAAATTTAAAACGAGTGAAAATTAACTCAGAGCGATACCACTTTTCGAAATGACGGGAGTGAATGTTTGACTCAATTTCAGTTTCAATCGATTGGAGTGAATTTGTTTCTATGACGGTGGAAAATGTCAGACCCACTCTTCAATCTCGGATAGAAATATTCGCCTAATGATTCAGAGCGGAGAATTCGTTCTCCAACGAATAAAAAATCACTCGAATTCAAGTACCCCGACTCAATTTATTTTTCCAGTGGAATTTCATTTGAATAAATTTAAAGAATATGTTACTTAAGTTAGATGTTGTATAATATTAAAACGAAGAAGTAAAACACATGATGTATCTGATCAGGAGATAGATAGAAAGAGAGAGAGAGAGAGAGAGAGAGAGAGAGGATGGAAAATTCAACGTGCAGTCTTGCGAGGCAAGGAGATGATAGAAACTGCAACATGGTCGCCTTGCAGGCGATACGTTACGCAATATTTATACCAGGTTGCGATATTGTCGTATCGTTAGCATACCTCGGGAATTGATGTTTCAATTTAATCCACCCCGCGAAGTCGACTAGATCGGCCTTCGGGGCGCCGATAAGCTGTCCGTCTTGATAACTGTGGGAAAATCAACAGCTTCGCGGGCCTTTACTCCCGCATACACCGCAGAGATACGTACGTGAAATATGGGTACAGGATGATCGAAAAGTCACGAAACTCGCGTTGCACACACATGGTACGGCACATACGGTGGTGTATATATGGGAGTATGTAAATAATACGAAACCGTTGTTGATGCCCAGTCAGTCAGTCGGGAGTGGAATTTAAGCGTGTCATTTAATCGTTTTATTGACACTGCACACCGTTAAAACAAAGAGAGAGAGGAAGTGATAGAGTGAGTGAGTGAGTGAGTGTGTGAGTGATAAGGGGGAGAGAGAGAGATGAGGGAGGAAGAGAGAGGGAGGAGAGAGAGAGAGAGAGAGAGAGAGGTGAATAACGAAAGCATAAATAATCAAGCGCATTTTGCGCGTATATTATAGAATTTTTATGGAATAATAATTTTGTTGAAAAGTGGAAAAATAATTTTGATAAAATAATAAAATAATTTTTAACGGAAAACATTACTTTCATATATATGTCGCGCACATCCGCACGTCATTCCTCGTGGAATATTAGTGCGATAAAAAATATAATTGTTATATTCCGTTGTGTTGCACATTGTGACATTTCTATGGAATATTTGATACGCGGGCATTTAATATGCGCATTGCATATAATATGATATTAAATTTATACTACACCGCGTATACACAGAGAGCGAATTAACCGCAAGCCGCGCGGCTTCCTCGATCATCTCACACGTTGGATATTATACATATCTGGGATGTCGGGTAATTGGCAGTTTTCCGTCAAGGCTCGCTGATCGCATCGCTTTTATCTATTATCATCGATAGTTTCAAGTTCGTTCCTTTCCGTGTTGGCGATTACGGCGTCGCTTTGGCGTCTAATCGCCTTTTGCCAATTACCAGCGGATTTCGCGTTACTTCAGAGTTTTCGCGAAAGCTCGCGCCTTGGCAAGCATAATAATGACAAATTGATACCGTACAAATCGCTACGGCAACGCAAAAGTCGTTTCGCGTGCACAAGCCGATCTTTATCTCTCTCTTCCCCTCTCTCTCCCTCTCTCTCTCTCCCTCTCTCTCTCTCTCTCTCATTCTTTTCGACGTGCGGATTTACTATTTATTCCACTTTAATCGTTCCAGTATCGTCGTCTCGCGTCCCGAAATAGTTCGCGCTGGAACAAATCGCTCGTGATAATTGGCAATCGGCGGAAAAAAAGGGGAGAAAGAGAAAAAAATCCGCGGAAACACACGATGCGGATCGTGACGCGAATAAACGGACCAGCTCGACTTCGCGTTTTTTTAGGTGGTCGTTATACTCGCGAATAGACAAAATCGAGGACTCAGGCGAAAAAGCCTGTAAAACGACAAGCGGATTTGATTCCACGACGATCGTGTAGTGTTTGCGGGCGCGTCGCGGGTTTTCAGAAGCAGTTATCGCGAGAACTAATTTTAGAAATTCCGCAAAGTCGATCGGAGACAGCCCGAAGATCCCGATATTTGCGAGCGTCGCGTCAGATATAGAATTTCGTGTAGGATCTTGGCCTCGCGAATTATATTTCGTTCTTGAACCGGTGAGTAAAAAATCTTGAAAAAATGCAGCGAGTTGAATAAACATTGGAATATACCTTAATTTTACCTAGAAGTTCTTCGAACAATTGCAGTACAATTTTTCATCGTGAAAAACGTTGAGGAAGGTCATTGTTCATGGGGACTTTTCAATTTTCGACATGCCGTATCTTTGTAACTAAAGCCCAAATTAAATTTCCATTAAAGTCCACTTGAAGTAGAAGAGAATAATCTTGTTACTCATTTGGTCACTCGATAATATTTTTTTATTGAAACACCCCGCTTTTTCGATTATTTACATCTCGGAAACTATTAATGTCTCGACGTGATTTCTTCGCTGGGGAGAAATTAATTCTAAGTTATCCGGAGAACCTCCCGGTAAGAAAAAGAAAGAGTTGTGAGGTCGGGGACACCCGGTATATAGAGTCGTTCGTCTATCCGCTTATTTGTAGTTTTTATCACACGGTAATAATTCGAACGATTCGGGCTGCACGTCTAAGAGAGAAAATATTGTGACTGAAGCGACGGGTTGCAGGTGGGCGACCGGTGGGTGGGTGGGAAAGACGATAGACATAGAGTCGAGTTTGCGAGTCGCGAGGCCTGCGAGCGCGGTCTGTTGGCCTGGATGTGTCTTGCAAGCTCAGTACCCCGTGACTCGCAATCCCAGACGGACGCAATCTCGCCGCAATCGGGTAAGAATGCGCACCTAGAACACGCACCGTTGAATTCCTTCGTTTTCTGCGTTTTGATTTCAGAAAGAGAGAGAGAGAGAGAGAGAGAGAGAGCATGGCAAGTTTGGTTTCTCGACCCGAGTCGAAATTTTGGCCCTACGTTAAATCTTGAATTCTACACATAGGAGCTAAGATACTAAAACAGGTGTTCAATTTCAATTCTAATAATATAATATAATCCGTATTTTGATCCTGGTGATGTCTTAA